CTGTTTACTACTTGAAAAGCAATACTGACAGGAAAACTGTTTTCTACCAATTTTGTCCAAGAAAAAAACCTTTCTTCCACTTTAGAGGGAAGCTGGGTAAACAACAATGTTCTACAGAAAGATAGACAAGATGTCTAAAGGGAGGTAAGAAACAGGATGCTCATTAGGGAGATAAACAGCCTGATGTTTTTAGGGTGTTCAGTGCTGCAAGGAAGTTTGCTAAGCTCAGAAAGTAAATAGATTCAGGAAGTCTGTGAAACTGACAAGGTTCCCTTGCCCACTCTATGCTTAAGCTTCTGTAAACCCTAAGAAATGCTGAGAGACACTCAGGCTAGCCAAGGTGCTGGGAAGATGAAAATCAGCAGAGCTGCCTGGAAGAGGCTGAGACCTGAAAAAGACAATGTCTTACCTGGTGAGCCACCTTCCGGCTGTGAAGTGAACTCTTAGGTGTCCTTTTTCTTGAGTAGGGGTGGGCTTTTGGTGATGCAGCTGTCTTTGAGTATATTCTATTCTTGTAATTAAACCCTCACTAATATTGCTGTAAGTAACACCAGTAAGGCTTGTTGATTCACCAAGCTGGATTTTTATAGTATCTTTACCTTGGATTACTGTTGGTCCTGTGTCTCAGGTAAGTAGATATTTGTTCATATCTCTTTGGAAGGTGTCACACAACAGAAATAGGCAAAAAATATGCCCAGCACCCACATGGTGACCAGCAATAGTACATAACACCAGTTCTAGGGGCACCTGCTAACTTTGAGGACTAACAGTGCTGAAGAATAGAATCACACAAAGATTCCAAGGAGTGAAACATTGTGCATTTATTCAGATCTGTATAAAATGTCTATGGCCATATCATTCTGAATGTGTGTGATCTTGACAGATCTCTGTAAAATATAGTTGGTATATAAACATATAAAGTTGGTATTATTAATAGCAGTAATAATAAATATTTATAGAACATTTTATAAATGCCAAGAAACATTCCAAGACAGAATTTTTATCAACTTTGGTGAAAGAAATACAAAAAGTATATAAACATATAAAGTTGGTATTAATAGCAGTAATAATAAATATTTATAGAACATTTTGTAAATGCCTAGAAACATTCCAAGACAGAATTTTATCAACTTTGGTGAAAGAAATACAAAAATTTTAAAGGCATTTCTATTATGTGACTTTTTTGTCTGAGGAGACTAAATATTTAAATATTTAAATATTGACACAGGTGAATATATTGTTGTACGAGGTTAAAATATGTAAACAATCTCAAAAGTTTTTTGCTGAAAATTTCATACCACGATCATTTATATAATATTTTATTTTCATTTTTGGTATGATGAAATTGCTCAGTGTGTTTATAAGCCACCCTATACATTTACTCTTTTTCTTTTCAATGAATTAAAACAGCTGAGGTCAGTGTTTTAACTCAGATGCACTGAGAGCTTCGGTCCCTATATCAGGAAGCCTGAAGAAAAGTCAATTCAGGCATCATGGGGATTGACAGGCTAGAACCTTAGAGCTAATTATGCCCTCCACTGTAAATAAGAGAGAATGCTTGTTATCAGAAACAGTACTAAGCAGTGTCACCATTCCATTACAGATTATTGTCTCAACAGAGTGACAGGTAAAACCAGGAAAAATCACCACTCAGAAGGACAGCAACAAAGCAAGGTTTATTTGGGAAGTTGCCTGATGTGACTTTCAAATTCCAGGATTGAGGAAAGACCACCAGTTTGCAGGCTGCTGGATGGAGGCTTTTATAGGGGGTTAGGGAATGCAGAAGGTGGGGAAAAGAATTCAACATAGTTTTGGCGGGATGCCACGGTCTATACATTGTGAAACTTATCAGGGGGAAGCAGCTTGTGCTGAGACAGCTCTTGCATCATTTGAGTCATGGATGCAGAGGCCTGTTTATCTTCTAAACTTATCTGGGGAAACAGACTGTGTTGAAACTGTCCCCTGGTTGGAGCAGGAACTGCTGACTCAATTCCTGTTTTTCAGAGGACCCTGGTCCTGTCTTGTTAGGCTTTATTGCACTGGGGTAGGGCCACCTACAGACCTGGACTTTACCTAACACACAGTAAGGAGCCGTTTTTCTTACTGGATATTTATGAGATTGACAAAAATAGACAAAAAATTGACAAAAATTTTCAGATTTAAAATTTTTTATTGTTAGTGTACTTTGCTCATAATTGCCTCCAAATTAAATAACAGTCTAAATGAAGTTCTTATCTTTTAATCTTTTTGATCAACAGCAGGTGTAGTGCTCTCTAATGCTATATTTCCACACTGATGTGATGGAAAATGTCCAGTTAATTATCTATGTTTTTCAAAATTTGATTTCTCTCAAAGCCAATAATAAGATAAGTATGTTTAGTACTCACAAATAATAATTAGTATTTGACCAAGCAATTGATGAAATACAGGATGAAAATAAGTCCAAGAATGGTAGATGTAGAGAGTATAGACAGGCGTGTAACAATATGTTTCCTTTAAGAAATAAATTGTGTGTCAAATTTTGAAATTTTGGTTATTATAGGATCTGCTACAAAGGATTTTATTTCATTGTCTTAGAATACAATAAGGTATATTTTCTGCTTAATTTCATTTAGAAATTACCATAAGTTCTTTTCTTAAATATGAAAGAATCTTTCTCATCCTCATACATTTTCTGTGAAAAGACTAAACCGTGTTTTACTATGAACATAAATTTATTACCTGTAATGTTCTTGGCCTTCTAATCTTGTCAAGTTTAGGGACTCTCAGAAATGGGCATAAGATTGAGGCATGATGACTGTTCTTTTGAGAACAGTTTTCACTGAATGATGTGTTCAAGGATAGGTAAGCTGTTAAGCAAGACTAAGTCTCCAACAAAACAAACAAAATAGAACAAAAAATTCACACAGCAACATATTCTGAATATTAAAAAAACTGCCTCAAACACAAACTCCAACACACACACGTGCACACACAGACACACAAGGAGGGAGGGAGAGAGAGAGAGAGAGAGAGAGAGAGAGAGAGAGAGAGAGAGAGAGAGAGAGATATATATAAAGTGTTTTTGT